GACCAAGGCTGTTGATTTATCAAGCCCTTATGGTAGCTGATGTACAACGGCTATTCCACGTTAAAGGAATCAATCACAGGCATCTTCTACCCATCAAAACAAAGTTCATAATATGGAACATTAGGACCCTTATGGGCAACCCCTCCAACAGCAGACTGGAAAACTGCATTGTCATTGCCCTGAATGATAGTATAAAGGTAGGGGTGGAGGTTAGATAGACCTTAGGTTTAGGGTAAAAGTTCGGCACAACATCGTGGGCCGAAGGGCTTGTACTGTACTGTACTGCTATATGTTCTATGCCCAGGAGCACGAATCTTTTTACGCTTACATTGCCGCCTTGAGAGAGAAATGATGTGGTGGTTAAATGTTCGTCTGCAAAGATACATCAGAAGGAGACTGCTGCCTTCATAGGTTTGCCCTCACTATTAGAACAAATTAATTGGACATTTCAGAGTGCCGATGTGGGGTAAACAAACATCTTATGACCCTTCGGCTCACTCTTGCCCAGAAACGGTGTTACAGTGTTCAATGTGTATACCCAACGGGAAGAGGAATTCCACACCAATCTCAAACAATCCCTGGCATAAGTTCTGGCGAGTGACAGGCTAATCCTTCTTGGAGACTTCAAAACTAGAGTTGGAAAGGGAGTAGACCTGTGGGTAGATGTGATTAGCAGGGAAATCTACCAGTAACAGTATTCTGCCCTTGACAAAGTGTGTAGAATGTGATCTATCATAACCAACACTTTGTTCTGTCAGAGACAAGTACAAGCCCTTGTGGGAACACCCTCTACTCCAAGCACTGGCTATGACTTCACGCAAGTGAGAGACTGCAGGGATGTATGTTTGTCCATGCCACGATAGGTGTTGGTGACACCTGTAATTCCACAGAGCTAACCAACCCCTAATACACTGAAAGACATCTGCAAGCCCACCTGAAGGGAGGGCAAGAATTGGACTACTGTTATTTGAACATCAGATGAAAACCAATAAATTCACACCTGACCTCCAGCACTATGGTAGACAACCTAAAATTAATGACATGTTGTGCTCCCCACCACTCCACACCACATTGAACAGAGACACCGATGGGTTCAGATTCATAGTTCTTTCAAAATTGTGTCACAGGTAGACAGGGTGGTTAAGAAGGCATTTAGCATGCTTGCCTTCATTGCTCAGACTACTGAGTATAGGAGTTGGGACATTATGTTGAGGCTGTACAGGATGTTGACGAGGCCACTTTTGGAGTACTGTGTACAGTTCTGGTTGCCATGCTATAGGAAGGAAATTATCAAGTTGGAGAGGGTGCAGAAAAGATTTATAAGCATGTTGTTGGGACTGGAAAGGTTGAGTTATAAGGAGAGGCTGTAGGCTGGGACATTCTTCCCTGGAGCATAAGAGGTTGAGGGGTGACCTTATAGAGGTTTATAAAATCATGAGGGGCATTGATAAGGGAATAGCAATGCTCTTTTTCTTAGGGTAGGGGAGTTCAAAATTAGAGGGCATATTTTTAAAGTGAGAGGAGAATGATTCAAAGGGGACCTAAGGGGCGACTTTTTCCACACAGAGGGTGGTTTGTATGTGGAATGAACTGCCAGAAGTGGGAAATGCAGGCATAATTACAACGTTTAGACATTTGGACAGGTAATTGAATAGAAAAGGTTCAGAGGGAGATGTGCCAAATGCAGACAATGGGACTAGTTTGGGAAACTTGGTCAGCATTGATGAGTTGGACTGAAGGGTCTGTTTCCATGCTGTACGACTCTATGACTCTATTACAGCAGAAGCGACTACAGCCTAATTCATTCTGTCATCAACATCAATGTTGCCCCAAGGTGGCAACAGTAAGAATTCGCAGGAAAACAATACTGAGGGACACAAAGACTCTTATCAGAGTGCCCTACTCAGCTAGCACCTCACTGCCAACCTGACAACTCCCAGTGAACTAGAGTACCCACAATTCCCAGTCTGCTAAGCCCGGTCTGACGATCTTCATAATCAACAGTTGCAAAGGGATGATCAGTCACTCAACAAGGAAACACTGAGACTAGTTCAATAAGTATGATGATAAGTCCCAGGAGCTGATAAGCTATAAGTGCATGACATATCTGAACCTGAAACAGTGAACAATCCTGAGAAGCAGAAAGCACTCTACCAGCAATTGAAGTGAGAGATCCAGCAAAACAACCCATGACCTAGTCAACAGAAGGTGGGTGGAGAAAATGCTGAAAATTCAGTTAGCCAATAATCATGATGTATGTGGTTTCTTTAGCATAGTTAAGATTATCTGTAATTTACATACCCAAGACCCTATTCCACTGCTGGCCAAATGGAGAGATGCTCATCAAGGACAGAGAGGCAGTCAATGCCTACTTGATTGAGCACTTTAAAGAGCTCCGAACAGAGACTCAGTCTTCAATGCAAGCAGGCTCAATTCCATCCTACAGCATGCTATCCATCAACATCTCAACACAACACAAACTTGTGCAATAAAAAAAGCCATACAACAACTCAAGAACAACAAGGCATCTGGAGCAGATGTAATCCTTGCCAAAGCAGTATTAGTGTCATTATATTCTCTCAATTCCTTCATCCGGAGGGAGAAAAGTGTGCCAGGAGAAAGTATGCCAGGAGATCTCCCAGACATTGAAATCATGACCATCTTCAAGGAAGGTGACAGCCTTGACTGTGATCATGGGAGAAGAAAATTCCCTACCGTTGGCCATAGGGAAAGTTAGTGCAAGAACTTCCTCAATTGCTTTCTCCCAGTGGCTGTAAAGCTCACTTCAGAGTGTAATGTGATTTCTGCCCTCAAAGGGGCACAATAGACAAGGATCTTCACCACACAGCAACTACACAAGAAATGCAGGGAACAGCATCAACCAATATACATGGCCTTCTTTGACTCCGCCAAGGCCTTGACACTAAACTGCGTGCAATTATGGAATATTCTTTCCCATTCTGACTGTCCCCCAAGGATCATGCATCATCTGCCCATGATGATAATGCAAGCCCTGATCCCAAACAATGAATCCACTACACACCCATTTCAGGTTGGCAAATTGGCACATTCGGAGAAAAGGCCTTACACTAAACACTTGTAAAACAAAAGGACCTCTGCCAACCTGACCCCACCCTCCAGCAATCAACATCAATGATGAGGTCTTGGATAACATGGACCACGTTCCATACCTCGGAGCTAACTATCAAACATGCACTTTGAAATGAGCATTTCAGCAACATCAATGACGATGTTCAACACTGTCTTTAGTTTGCCATTGCAGACTTCCTTTGCCTGTGGAGATGTCTGTTTGATGATCAGCACTTCAAACCTAGCACCAAGTTCATGTTCTACAGTGCAGTTATAATGGCTCAAAAATGTGGACACATCTGGCACCACAATACTGTGAAAGAAGAGCACCAATGCTGTTCCACAAGATTTGGCAAATCCAGTAGCAGGATAGGGACACCAACGTCATTATTCTTGCTCGGGCCAAAATTCCTAACACGGAAGCATTCACCATAATTGATCAGTTCTTCTGGTCTGACACACTCCCTGGACTATTACAGCCTATACTGGACAGAAAGCATCCGGAAAGGATCTGTAAACCTTGAGTCTCTTTGCTGATGGCAAACTGAAGTCGTGTTGACAAAGAATGGGCAACGCGAGCATCTTACCCTCAATGCCCAAATCACGGTCTGTCCCACCTGTGGCACAGACTGTAGATCGTGCATTGGGTTCTTCAGTCACATGAGAACTCATTTTTAGTTTGATCACGTGGAACTGCCTGAGAAGAATGCACTTCCATAAGGTAGAGTGAGAACGAATGGCATAGCAGCTGCAAATTCCCAGGTTAGGCATTATTAATATACTCTTTTTAACTTAGCCTGAGAATTATGAAGCATGGCACCTGCTAAAATTAACCAAGTTTCTGGTAAAGGGGAGCTTGGAGATTTTGAATACTGGGAAACTCTTTAAAGCATTTCCTTTTTTGCTCTGTTGTCAACACACACCAACACTCAAGTTCAGATTTTAATACCAACCATCACACAACCAGGGATTCCCTGTATGTTTACGGTACATCGTTAGCATGGAGGATGATCATCAAATGAAGCAGGGGAGATAAAAACACAAATACTGACTTATCAGGTTAGGCAGCATACATGGAGAAAAAAATGGTTAATAATTCAGGTCAATGACCTTTTATGAGAACATAACTGTTTTAAATGTGAAGTCATTCACAATGGACCCAAGGAGGATAGAGTAAAGTACTTTCTATGTGCTGAAAAACTAGGAACAGTGCAGGTTAAATTACATAGATCATTATGATGTCATGATCAGGAGCAGAAAATAATCAAGGTAGCTAATGAAATGCCAGCCTTTATATCTAAAAAGATAGAATACTAGAGTGTAGAAATCATGCTTCAGCTACTTAAAGTCCTGGTTACTCCATATTTGGAGCATGGACAAATAAATAGCTACAGTCTCAACAAAACTGACCTATAACGTAGTTCTAGTAGTTTTATTTTTACCAAGAATTTAATGTTCATTTGATGAACAATCTAAGTACACTGGAGATGAAAAAAAACTATAGCCCAAAATTTATTTTTATTATTCATCTGCTTCACGGCTGTTTACTTACTGTCATCAGTTCTAATTCAATATTTGCCTTCTACAGGCTATCAGTGAGTTGAACAAGAAATAGCAGTGTTCTTTGGTTAATCAGATTGAAAACCCAGTCTACAGCAGAAAGTGAATTAGATTTATTTCTCTTTCTGTACATGACTTAGAGAGAGACAGGACAATGAAGGAGAAACGTGACAATAAAAGTGAAAAAAAGTTGTTTTTATTTTAGAAGAAATTGAACACCAAACTCTGGAAACTGCTGTCCAATTTAGACCATCTTAATAGTGTGTAGTAACAGCTTCATGATTATTCTATAACGCAAAATCTGGAACAAACTTTTCAGACTTGTGAAATATTGTTTAATTTTCACCTACCTATAAGTTCTTTGTTTCGAACATCTAGGGCCATGTTCCTCAATGCAGTAGCAACAGAGCAAACAACCCGATCGTTGTCCATTCTCAGAAGTTCCACAAGAATTGGAAGGCCTTTCTCTTTTCTGACTGCAGCTCGTATATATGCTGCCCACTGACATCAGGACAGGGAAAGAAAAAGTTAAATTGAGTCAGAACTTGAAAACTTTGAACTGAAGCACTACACCTCTAACCACGTCTCTCCTCAAAATTCTACAGCCACTTTTAAATACTTTTATATGCAAGATGTCAGAAATGCTTTCAATGATCATCTAACATTTTCCTGCTTTTCATTCAGTTTTCCAAAATATTAAAACCCAGTTATTGTGCATTATTGCATTCTGCCTCTCCCTCACGTACTTTGCAATATGGGGATTAACAGAACAGATTCACGTGAAGGTGTGACTAATCATTATCTAGAATTGCTGTTTAGAAGTATCACAATTATAGCATGTTATACTGTGAAACTGAACAGGGTACGGCGTAATGGAGCAATGATCAGTCAGTGCCCACAATGCCAGAAAGCATGGGAATTAAATGCAAAGCAGGGCCTTCCATTGTTAATGTCTAAACAGAGCTGGTGAAGTCACTGATAGTACCAATAAGTTGCAGCTGTAAGACTACATGCAGGTTCCTTCCCCTTTATTTGTTTCCATCACTTCTTAATGTCCTAACCGATGAGCACTGATCATGGGTTGAAATGATTTTTAAGCCTTTGTGAAAGATGTTGAATTACATTTCTCAATTCTGAAACTTGCTTTTTAATTTTTCCCATCCCATGGAGTTTTATTTACATTCAAATGTCTACTCCTCTTACTAACATGCTTCCTACACCTACACAAATCTTGAAACCAGATTGCTAAATATGCAATTGCCTCACTAAGAAATTCAAGTGCTGTTAGAACTTTACTATTCACGTGTTGTCAGAAATATTACATAGACACGTCTTAAGTGATTAACAGTTGAAAATCTTTGCATCTAGTACAGGTTCTTTCATTTTATTTCTGATGGACCTTGGCATGGCAATAAAGTTTTACATTTATGTAATGTTGCTAGCATAGGCTATGACCAAAATAAATATTTTCCATTTTTCAGACACATCACAAGCACTTCTTCAGTCCTCTCACCATAAGCTCATTCATTATTCTGTCAAAAAACAAAGTTAAATAATTTAATTTTAGCAATGCAATTTATTATTTCACAAACTTTACACAAATGTAATAGAATTTACTGACACTAACTTATTAGCACCTCAGTGAAGACTGCCTAAAGATACATGTTCCGCCAAGAATTCAACAAACGTTTGAGTTAATTCCAGTGTTTTGAAACTAAGATACAATAAAGGCACCCTCTGGCAACTTCAGTGAATATCCAAGTGAAACAGACTGGGAGACCGCTTGTTTGATCTAGTTAGTACTGAGTTATCTTATCTCGAGTGGATCTCAAGTATCAAAATTATACAGGATGAGGAAGCTATTTGACCCACTGTGTCTGCACTGTGTTTAAAAAAGAGCTTTTTACTTCTATTCAGTTCTTCACCTTTCTCCATACTCTTCCAAATGTTTAAATTTGAATTATTCATCCAATTTCCTTCCAAAATATGACAAATCTTATTTCTATTAGTGTTGCTAGTAAAGCATTCTAAGTCCTAATAATCTTCTGCATAGAAGAAAAATTCTCCTAACCTTTCCCTTCATTCATTCTTCTGGTATCAATGCTCCCTGCTCCCTCAGTATGCATTGTTTCCATATAACGTGTGCCTCTCCCAGCTGCAGCCTTTCCTGAAGCCTAGATGCACTATATAGGTGGAACATACAGAATTTAACATATAATAGCCAGATTGAATAGCCATAATATGTAATACAAACAAAAATTGCTTTGTTGAGACTAAGACACATTTAATTCTATTAAATCCTGACTAGGATGGTGGGATCTGTATGTGACTGCAAGTACCATTTCCATGGTACATGCATGGCTTTATCTTTATTCTTGTTGAACTATTGGGATGGACTCCACAGATGACTGGAGGACACAAACTAAGAAGGTAAAAATAGACTCCCTTCCAATAATCCTCTTCGTAATGAAAAAGAACAAATAACACGGAAAAGATTGCCAACTATGTGATCTGAAATCTGCTTTAAAATCAGTAAACAACTTACTCATAAATATTTACTGTAAATCTGAGCTGTACGAAATACTGAACAGGGAAGGGAAGGGAAAATCCAAAATGAAGCTGCAAGGTAGTCACTGTGTTATATCTGTACAAACCTTACACTGCTAGTTTCAAATGGTGTTGACAGAAATCTTGAGACCGAAGTCTGTCCCCTACTGTTCAGGAATGAAAGAACATTTCAACAATTTCCATTTTAAAGGTTTAAAGTCATTAATTCCACACAGTGGCAAGATTAGGGTACTACAAGGCAATCATTTAATGGATTTGATTTTGCACTGTCAGAAGCGTTGTGTATTCAACAATTGTAACTATTGGACATGGGAAGATCTCTAACTTCCAGTGTGCACACAAACTGTAGTGTGGTAATCACAAAGTTGTAATGAAGCACCCAATTCCACACTGAAAGTTTTGTTACTTCAAACTCAAATTAAGAAACCGGCTTTTATTTAGGCTAATTGCCCTCATTCATTACACCTTTAAATTTTACATTCGCATTATCAGGTACGTGGGGCTTCTTCATAACTTAAAAACAATTTACGAGGAGGACCTCTCATTTTAAAGTTAAAATGGATTGATTAAATAGCTATCGACATAAAACTTTACAAAAATCTGATAAATTTGTTAAAAAGTAAATACAATGACATTTTAAGCATGATGTATCAGACTTTTAAATTATTACTGTGAAGGTGATTTTTCTGATCAGAATAATACATTAAAAGTGTTCGCATTTTTAAACTTATAAGATTAATTATTTAATGCATATTCTCCTCCAACCGATGCAGCAGCCATTTTTTTTGTAAGCACACCCGTAACTGCCTGTCTTTTTCAACTTGAGCTAGCTTGTGCTGGTGGGCCTCTCTGTAACCTTCACCATGAGAGAATGCTGCCACAGGTGAAATTCTTGTTCCCTGGATCACAGCAAAGTCACGTAGAGTTTTATTTGATTTCAAGGACGTATACTACCATTACTGTAAAATTTGGATCATTTATGTTTCGTAATGGACAAAAGAGGTGATCCATAACTATGTATTTATAAACTGATCAAACTACAATGTCTTTTAACAAAAAACAATTAGAATAACGAAACTTCTGTTTTGGAAGGCTGTACTTTCTGCAAAGCTTGGGAAATGTAGTGTCACATCAACCCTTCTTGTTAAATTTAGTTTAGCCAAAATAGCTGCAACAATCCCTCTTCTAACGTTAAAAATGAGAGGACAAATTGAAAAGGTTGTAAAATGTGTGGAATTTTAGGTTCTATGGAATGAAGAGATAACAGTAATGTTAAGTCTGTATAATTCAATGGCTAAGCTACAGTAACAACATTGCTTAGCTTTATAGTACTTTAAAAGGAATATCAAGAATAGCAAGAAGTCACAGAGGTGATGGCCCGAGATGATAGAATAGTGGGACATGACATTTTAGTTATGAGCAATTAGGATTTATGTTATTACAATGAAGAGAGGTGTATGTTAAAGCAATTTTGATGTCTAATTTGGAGAAAATATTTCTACTGAATGGTGAACTTTTAACTAGGTTGACAAATTTAAGATCACCATCAGAAGACTGAAAGGAGTTTTCTTTTATACAGAGCTTGGAATATTCTACTAGAAATGTGCTGACAGCAGAATCTGCAATTACTTCATAGATCATAGAATCCCTACAGTGTGGAAACAGGCCCTTCGGCCCAACAAGTTTACAATGACTCTCAGAGCATCCCACCTAGACCTATCCCCCTATAACCCACCTAATCTACACATCCCTGAACACTATGGGCAATTTAGCATGGCCAATCCACCTAGCCTGCACATTTTTGGACTGTGGGAGGAAACCGGAGCACCTGGAAAAACCCACGCAGACACAGGGAGAATGTGCAAACTCCACACAGACAGTCGCCCAAGGGTGGAATCAAACCTGGGTTCGTGGTGCTGTGAGGCAGCAGTGCTAACCAATGAGCCACTGTGCCGCCCTCTTGAAACATTAGGCAGGATATAAAACAGCACTGTCCATCTGGCAACCAATTCATGCCCGTGTTTATATATCATGCAAGTTCCAGATTTTGGAGGGGATAAAAAAAAGAGGGGCTATAGTGAAAGGGATAGGTTGGAAGTGATTGCAACAGTGGGCATTGTTTTCCAGAGAACTGGCACAGCATGATGGACCAAAGGATCGTTTTTGTAACGTAAAATTCTACAATCCTATTGTTAGTTGCAACACTGTAATGGACAAGAACAAACATTTCTGTAACTTGTTCCTGTTTGCTGAAAATTACCTGTTTAAGAAAAATGGAAAGACATAATGCAGTAGATGGTATTTTTGTATGCTGGGCCTGAGTGCAAGGGAGTATCAGGCTGTATTTCAATCTACAAACATTGATTTACAATCACTAGATACCAAAATGGTATGGCCCAAAGAGAGAAAAGGTATTGTAATTTATAAAAAGGATATTACTTACTCTGAGCATAAAATGCATAAATTGTTATTTACAAATAATTATACATTACACATAGAATATTGGACATACCTTCCAGTTTCCTGCTGATAAGTTCTGTAGAGATCCAGCGGATCCTTCCAACGTGGCTGGGTTTGAACTTTCAGCAAGGAGAGTGAGATATGGTTTCACTATTGATGGATGCCACAACATTTCAACTCCTTTTGGGGATTTAGAAAATCCAGGTATTGGACCTACTCCATCCCACTGTAAATAAAAGGTATTGTTTAAAAAGTTGCAGAATCCCTATAATTGCTTTCTATGCACCACTGAAAGTTGACAATTCAGTTATCTAACATTATGCTACTTGGCTGTGATATTATTTATTTAATTATTATTTAATTCAAACTATTGCAAAATGTCCTTTTTTCTTTAAATAATATTTAACTATGGTCAGGTGATTTCACTCTGTACGACTGCAAGCCCCTGCCTGAAGTTCTTTTATTTGTTTCATTACAAGTGCCATTTACAGCAAGAACAGCTGATATTTCTCTACTGTTGGTATACTGACTGTATCATTAGACCCTACCATATTCATTATGAAAGCTCATGACTGCCGGTTTGAGGCATCCCCAACACCACTGAAACACTAAAGGAAGTGTGCGACAAGAAATAAGAGGCAAGTATTCTTACTTAACTAATATCTTCAAATCTTTCTCATAACCATTTGAAGTTAAAATTGGGCCACAAAATGGCCTAGATTAATCATCTTAGTTTTTCTGAATATGGATACCAGGTGAACATTCTTCCAACCAAAATGAAACTCTTAGAAATGGTTAACTTCATAATGAATATCATAAATCTGCAAATGTCGAGCAGCTTTCTTAATACCTTGAAGTAAATTCTAACCAACTTAATAAATTTGAGACTACTTTCAGCCAATTTGGGACTCTCATTTATTGATGTTCAAATTATTTAATCTAATCTGGATTAACACTAAACATGTGATGTATTCACCAGAGAAGATACCATGTAATTATTGAGAAGGAAGGCTTCTGAAACGTAGATTTTCCAATGAACAATTTAGTCATGCACTACAATGACTACTTTATAATCACAGGCAGCCTGGCCTTGTTACCATTCTTTGGGACCATTGCGTTGCCCTTCAATTTATTTGATCAAGTCTTTGAGAAGATTTGTAGCTCGGGTTGTGGATGAGGTTGTAAACTTGCTCGCCTAGCCGGTGTGTTTGATTGCAGACGTTTCGTCACCCTGCTAGGTAACATTGTCAGTGCGCCTCCGGTGAAGCGTTGGTGTTCTGTCCGCTTGTTAATTATATGCCTTGGTTTGCTGGGGTGGTTGGCATTACTTCCGGTTCTGTTTTACAGTGAAACTCTATTAACAAGCACATTGAGCTGGACCCGATGCACAAACTACCCCAGCAAACCGTGTCATATAATTAACAAGCAGGATAGAACACCAACGCTTCACCGGAGGCGCACTGACAACGTTACCTAGCAGGGTGATGAAACATCTGTAACCAAACACACTGGCTCGGTGAGCAAGTCTACAACTTCAATTTATTTGATCAATCAGTTGTTTTTTTGCTGATTTAGATCCTATTGAAGCCTACAAACACAGCTCTAAACCATAGTTTTACTGAAATGTAAGCATTTACCTGATCTTCCTGGGGCTCTTTCTTTTTCTTTTTCTTCTTCTTACCCCAGCAACCAGTTTCAGCATCTTTATTGGGAGAGTCACTACCAAGTAATCCATCAAGTTCACTTGTTCCCATCAGACGAGCTTGTGGAACCTCTAGTTCTAAGCGATAGGACAGGTTTCTCAAGATGCAAACACAGTTTTCAACAGTCTGAAATAAGAAACAATTAGAATGCCACTTATTTAAATAAACATGGTCAAGCCACTGTAGCCAACTAGTCTCCACTTGCAGAACTTGCAACAGTGTCCAAAATTAGATGCATTCTATAATTGAATAATGTTTGTTGGATAATCCTGAAATCTGACAAATTATGCTGACAACTAATTTAGGATTGTCAGTTAGAATCAGTGTGGTATACTTGCATGTACTGGATGCTACATACATTAACACACGAGGCCCTATTCCCTTTAGGCAGAAAGAACATGAACATGAACATGCACTATGCCAGTTTCAACTCAACAAAACAGGTAACAGCCATTTCTGGTTCAATTCTCAGGGCAATGCCCTGACCCAGACTCAACCTGCCTGCTTTACGGTTAATCTGCATTAATGGGTGCATTCTTGATGGCAATATCTCTTCCAAAGTCCACTTGCCAACCAACCCACTTCCATCTCCTGCAGCATAAATGCTAAATTTTCCCTTAAAATTGTAGATATTTTTAAACAATCTGTGCAGAGATGTTATGACACTTCTGGGGCATGGGACTTGAATCTGAGTTTTCTGACTCACAGATAGGGACATTATCATTATATCACAAGAGGCCCAACCCCTTGAAATTGTATTCTTGCAAAATGTTCTGATGAGTGCAAAGCAAAACGCTTTGACAAAATGTCTCTTTTCTGCAACAATCAATTCTGAATTATCAAACAGTAATCTAGGGAAATTTGGAAGATTACAAACAATGCATTCACACTCTCTGGAGCTACCTTCCTGAAGATTCCAGCATTTGGGCCATCAGATCCCAGTTTTTAGTCCTATAAATTTCCTGAATACTTTTTCTCTCATGAGGTTTTAAAATTTGTTCATGGATGTGAAAGCTATTGGTTAGGCCAGCATATATTGCATACTATTAATTGCCCAGGCAGCAGTTAAGCGCCAGCCACGTTACTTTGGATCAGGAGTCACAAGTTAGCCAGACATGGTAAGGATCGTAAAAATTCCTTCTAAGCAACATTAGAGAACCAGATGGATTTTTATGACAATTGACAGTGTTTCCTTAGCATTTTACTTCAGATTTTTTTTGAAATTCAGATTCAGGTTTCAAAATCTAACATGGTTCAAAAACCAGTTCCTCAGAACATGAGCCTGGGGATACAAAGATAATTATTTAAGATATCTGCTATTTCTTTGCTTCCTTTATTATTTCCCCATTATTCTCCTTTAAGGAACTAATGTTTATTCTCTTCCTTTTTGGCATACCTGAAGGTCTTACTGTTGGTTCTTACCTCCTCTAGCATAGTCTCACACTCTAATTTCTTCTTTCTTATTTTTTCCTTAATTACTTGCTGATTTCTAAAGATTCCCAATCTTGTGGCCTTCTACTAATCGCTGCATCATCGAATGCCTTTTCTTTCTATTTCACATCGTCAGCTTCCTCAGTGAGGCACAATAGTATGTCCTTCTTGTGGAATTTTTTTGAGTGGAATACACATTTGTTGAGTTCTACAATATCTCCTTAAAAGTCTGTCTCTGCTTATCTTCAGTCTTACCTTTTAACCTATTTTCCCAGCCCACTGTTGCCAGTTATCTTCATAAATTTAAACAAAAGATAATTACAAAGAGAAGACATTAGTCTCAGACCCAAATCTGCTGAGAAATTGTGTTATGATCATTCTGGTAGAGGATGCTTTAATGAGAAATCATTAAATAATCTTGTTTCAATCAGGTCCAAAATAGTGTACAACTGGTTGGTATAAGAAACCATGTGGACTACATTCTATGCACATTCTCCAAGCTACCTTTTCCAATTTGATCTGCTCAATCAATATGAAAATCAGAATCACCTACGATTATTAGCATATCTTCCTTACAACCCCCAGTAGTTTTTGAGGTATATTAAGTTTTACAGCGTAGCTACCATTAGGGGTCTTATGAATATTTCCCATGAGTGACTTTTTTCTTGCACTATTTGTAATCTCTACCTGAAACTGATTCTATACCTTGACCTGCTGAACCAAATGAATTTTACATACGAACATTTATTAACAGAGCTAACCACCTCCACTTCTTTTCTTTTCAAAATGTCAAAAACTTTTGAATATTCAGTTCCACCCTTGGTTATTTCACATCAATTTTTGCAATGCTTGTCAGATCATAATGATTTATTTGTGGTATCCCACTTTGCAAAGTGGGTCTTGCATCTGTTAGGAAGTATGCTGGCAGTTTTAAGTGAAAGTCAGCCTGCTCTCCCCGTCAGTTAAGGGATCACCACAAATCTGAATCACTGTAGTAGTTTGTGGATTCTATCACTGATCTTATTAGAGATTGAGAAAATAATTTTACATCAAAAATGCTTGTTCTATTTTATTCCATTCGATAATGTCAGTACTTAAAGAAATCTAAAATTGAAAGAGTACAAAAAAAGAATGGAAATGTTGCTGCTGCTGCGATTCCATATCAACAAAATTCAGTGCCCTCTAGCCAGAAATGGCGATTAGGAGTGAAAATCGGGAACTAAAACAAAATGAAGTGTTTTTAACAATTTATTTTCAAATTCACTGACAGTTTTGTCAGTGTTATGCAGTTCACACAGAATCAAATCAAAATAATGAATACAACCATGATTAATGGAGCACATTACAGGAAACATCCTATCCAAGAAGCACAAATCACAAACCTTGCTATCATAATCTGCAGTGTTAACGCACATCTGGATCACATATAATAATGAATCCACCAATCCCTCACAAGATCGGATCTTCTTTCGAGCCTCTTCACCTGCAGAGCTAAGATTTCTGCAAGATGGCAAACTTGTTAAAAAAAAAAGCTCACCAACACATACAGGTAACGATAAACATTTCATTGAATTAAACATAACAAAATTAGGCATTTTTAGCAGAACAGCCACTTGCAAGAGGCCTTGGTTGTCCCTGGCATTAAAGTCCAGGAGAATTGGCATCTTATGCAATAGTGACAAAAATAAGATTGACAGATAAAATGAGTGAAAAGACAAAAAAAATTACAACAAAAATAACTACCACATTTAATAAAAGCAGTTATTTAAACACACAATTTTGTACTTAAAAACATATAACTTAAAATAACTTTTGATTTTACAGCTTCAATCCTTCAAAATACTTCCATACTCATGACCATTGGGTGAGGAGGATAATTTACTTATTTACCTTAGACATCCAGTAGTATTTCGTAGTACTAAAGAAGCATGGAATTTCACTTTTCTGTCTTCATCAAAAGAAGAACTGCTCCACCCTGAATGAGGTATCACTACACTATTTGTAAGAGTTGTTAGAGCATCACGAATAATTGGCATCTTCACTGCATCACATGAAGACAAATTCCAGAGAACTCCTAAAAAATATTGGAAAGTACAATCAGTTCCCATCATTTTCTGATTTGACCCCAGAACTTTTCTCCCCCCTGCAAAGAATAAAAGCTGTTCAAATCTTCAAAACTGGTTGAGTGTGGTGTAATGCGAATACATTGAGATACACAAAGCATCACAATTAGGTGCGGCAGGCTGAATGGACCAGAGATTGTTTTCCCTGTTTTAAACTACAGTAAGTCCTCACTAAAGTTGAGGCTGCATTCCCGAAAATGATAATATAGAACTAACATTAAAACGTTTAGTTAGGTTCGGTAAGATCTTCTTCATCAGTAAAAAAAATTAAAACAGTATACCTTCTGATCTGAAATATTTTACACTGCTAAATTTCTGCACTAAAGAAATTTTAAAATAAACTAAGTTTAACAACATGAAAGAAAAATATAACTTTAAACCTATACCCAACTTGCCACTAGTCCTATTTCCCGAATCTCCTGCTACCCAATTCTCTTGCTTGTTGTAGTCCCTCTCTGTTCTCCAAGCCTCCATGTTGTGGGCACTGCCAACCTTCAAACCACTGCCCTATTACGTCTCAGAGGCATCCTTTATTTCTTTGAATTATTTCCATAATACATGCTTTCCATGGTTTAAAGTCTGGAGCCAGAAATAAATACAACAAATTGTAGACATTTTAACATAAATATTGATGTAAAAATGTATTAAGGGCTGATGGTGGCATAGTGGTAATGTCACCAGTAAGAGACCAGAAGTCCAAAACCCCAGTATAATCTTTTGGGGGCATGGATTCAAATCTCACCATGGCAGCTGTCCTTATCCAGTTTGACCTACACGTGACTCCAGATCCTCAGCAATATGGTTAACACTTAACTATCTGAAATAGCCTAGCAAGCTACTCCATTTAAGGGAAATTCGGATTCGGCCACAAATGCTGCCATTGCCACTTACATCCATGTTCCACGAAAGAATAAAGAAAAGTCATTCTTAAAACCAATAAAATTAGTAAAATATGGGATTTAATTTTCCAGCCACTGCTTAAGCAGCTGAAAGATTGGTGCCTCCTTTTTGTAGTTATCTTTCAACTATCTTTCTAACATCTCTACTCTGTTTTTAAACTGTTATCCTCAATATTAATCTTTGTACAATTCCTCATCTCACTGGGCCTTGATTGCTGCACTTTTAAAAATGTGTTTGCTAGTCTACATCAGCTTTGGTGACTTTGATTTTGTTCTTAAAATGTCTATTTATAGTGGTCCTTATACAGCAATAAAATATTTAAGATAATTCATTGTCTTCCATTTATATTTATTCCGTGTACATTTCAAATTGTTCTTTGCTTGGAACATATTCAGATTTGAAGCTCTTTATAGCAAACTCTTTTCTGACTCATAATGAACTTTTCAGATGTATAGATGCCCTATTTCCAGTATATTTAGGAAGCACTTAAAGGTGCTGCATGCTGTTGATACAATGGTTTTCAAATGATACAGCTTTGATGATTTTCTCTTACACCAAAATACAATAGTTCCTCACATGATATTCCTGAAAAGTGCAACTTTAAATGAAACAATGTTAACTTGATTACTGGATCATCTCAATACAACCAATGCAAAAGTTTCAGTTAGGTTCTGTAGGGCCATACTCCTCAGAAAAAGGACAATCAAACATTATACCCTGCAAGTTTAAACACTCCTGAATTCCCATACTTAAGCTAGTTTATTACAAAACTAAGGAAATGTTCAGGCATGGCAAAAAAAACGCTAAAATTATTAAACGTGAAGTTTCCTCTACTTTTTGGAGATTTCATAACTACGTTTCCTTCAAAATCCAATTTCATAAATTCACATTAAACATTTACATTTAGACTTCTCTCAGAAGAAACAATCCAATTCCTACTTTACAACCTTTTCATCCATAGTTAAGTAGGGATTACTTAATGACATTATTATAGCTGAATTCCTCACTATCAACATTCTGGTAGTGACCATTGACCACAAACAGATCTGGACCAGTCATATTAATGCTGTGACTATAACAGCTGGATACAGGCTAACAACTCATCTCCTGCCTCCCCAAAGCCTGTCCATCAGCTACACAGCACAAGCAGGGAGTGTGGTTGAATACTCTCCACTAGTTTGAAGGGTTGCAGCTCCAATAACACCCAAGCTGCTTGACACCATCCAAGACAAAGCAATCTACCTGACTAGCACCCCATCCATCAACTTCAATAATAATTCCCTTCACTAACAGCACACGCTGGCAGCAGTGTGCACTACATGCAAGATTCACTGCTATAACTTAAAGTTCCTTTGTCAGAATCTTCCAAACTTGTGGCCGCAACCACCTAGAAAATAACAGCAGCAGATGCAGGAGAACCTGCAATTTCCCCTCCATACCACATATCATCCTGACTTGGAACTACATTGCAACTCCTTTACTGTTACTGGTTTAAAATCCTGGAATTCCCTTCCTAACAGCACTGTGGATGTCTTTCCATCTCAAGGGGAACAGTAGTTTGAGAAGGCAGTTCACGAATACCTCCTTCAGGACAATAAGGTACAGGCAATAAGTGCTCACCTAGCCAGCAATGCCTATATCCCAGACAAATAATGCACTGTGCTAATATCAGAAAGAATGTATTTGACTACATATTGGTAAGTGATTAATCTGGAATTCCCTTAAGGGCAGCACAGTGGTTAACACTGCTTCCTCAGCATGCCAGAGACCCGGATTCCAGCTTTGGACAACTGAGTGGAATTTGCATATCCTCCCTATGCCAGTGTGGGGTTCCTCTGGGTGCTCTGGTTTCTTCCCACTGTCCAAAGACGTGCAGGCTAGGTGGATTGGTCATGGTAAACGTGGGTTTACGGGGATAGTTTGGGGGAGGGGGGTGGGTGTGATGTTCTTCAGAGGATCAGTGCAGATGTGACGGGCTGAATGATTCTAAGTATGTTACCAGGTGATATCCTGTGACAATGCATATGAATCTGCCACACTTTCTGCTGATATCTCTCTCATCCTCTCACACTCCCACCTTCAGTCTTTCTTTCTCACTGATTACACTCTCCATGCAGATTTATTTTTAGTACATCATTAGTTTGCTTGTAGCAGAGCACCGAATGCAGCCATGATAGGAGAGAAGGGAATAGTGCGCTAAGAACAAGACAAGGTTGAAAAACAATAAATGGCCACTTGGGTGCTCAAGGTGAGCAGGACAAGAGCATTGGGATGCTGGAGAGTAGTTGAGTGCAGTAATGAAAGCAGGGAGAACACACAAGGACTAGGAGAGTGCCAAAGACAACACCACCAAGGTGTCTGAGCAGAGTGGCATACATAAAATTTAAAATAAGCAAAAACAGAAAATTACAAACAAAACTTACCAGTTAAAAAAAGTTGATAAAGAAAGTGTCAGATAGGCTTATGCTACCTATATGGGAGAACTGGAAAGCAAATATAACAGTAATGCAAGCACATGTTATTTCAGATATTAGTAAGTACTGCATGTCAGAAAAAAATGATTACACGGGAGTTGTGACAACAGGGAGAATGTTCAGTCATAAGAAAACCAAGTGCAGAAGCAGGAAAACAAAGATACTTCAGGACAAATCTCCTATGATATGTCATGACAGGGTCTATCAACAGTCCTTAATTGAAGGTGATGAATATGTCACGAAGTGTATGAACATGTAGCAACTGTTCTTCTTTTGCAGACTATTAGAATACCAAAAAGGAACCCTTGTCCTCCCATTCTACTAGCTGCTGCTTTATTACATGTTAACTGTTAAGGCTTCAGGAGTGTATACCATAGCAAGTTGAAATCTTTGGTGAAAAGGAAAAAATTGCAGCAGGAAATAAAAATATGCAAGATGTCAAATGTACAAGTACAGAAATGCTTAGTGTTTTAAAAAACAGAATTAACATTCAATTAGACTGCAGAAACAGACAATATAAGACAAGCCAGGTATATTTTTGTGTCAGACATCCACTTTATATGGGTGAAACCCACATTGAGAGTCCTAAAATTCAAAACAACGTTATATTTTCTTAGTATTTGAGGTGTGCCCATGCTTATAGTGCAAAATCAATCAGCACCCAAAATCACATGTTGAATAATGTGATGCACACATAAATAGAACAAAGTCAGGAAATCATTTTTTGAGCTGCACAAAATAACGGAGGGATTCCATACGAATACCTCAGAAATTAACATTTTAAAGAGAAATTAATTATTTATTTGGAAGAAATAATACAAATCAATAGATTTATTAATTTATAGAATATAAATTGTAAAAGCAGGGAGATAGGACTAGTTAGTCTTAATAGGCTCCTTCAAAGGGCTCCCTCTAAGCTATTAATATGTAGATATGAAATTCTAAATATGTAAAGCGGTATCAGCAATGTTTAACTTGAAACAATTCTACATGTTCTCTACATTTCAATTGTGTTTACTGTGGAATTACAGGGGTGCAATAGATTTAAGTGAACATAATTTTTTTAAAAAAGGTTACATCATTGTCACAACCAGAATCTTATTGCACTGAGGCAAACAAAACAAAAACGTTAAAAGAAAAATGTCAGCGAAATAATTAAATTGATTTATACCAGGCTTGTCCAACAAGCAGCCCACCACCTGAATCCAAATACAGCAAGCAGAACTGGAAAATTCTGCAGAATGATGTTCCTCCAATTGGATGTCATTTCTCACCTACAGTTGCTGTTGATCAGCTCTTCAGTGGCTTCTAAAATAAGGGAGTCGAGAGCTATGAAAAGCAGCCACTGGGATCAGGCCGAGCCCTGAGCAGTGCAAGTGGGTCAGTGAGAATGCAATGGACGGGACATCTGGGCCAGTTTGTAGATAGGTGCTTTCCTGGAAGCATGGTGACAGGTACAGGGAATGAAGCCGAGTCAGCAAACAAGTCAGATGGAAGAAAAGGCTCTGCCCTTCCTGTGCAGCTATCAAGTGCCCGAAAGGACGACTATCAAGATGGCAGAATGGGTTTCTGAAATTGTGGGGGTGTGAGGAGTATGTGCAGTTAACAGAGGGAAGGAGGAGGAAGAAGTGCGAGGGGAAATGAAGAGAAGAGAGAGGAGGAAAGAGCGAGAGAGAGCACACATGCAAGAGCGCATGTGACAGACAACACGCGAGACAGAGCTAGAGGGAGAGAGGGGGGAGAAAGGGCCGCAGGGAGTGAGAGAAATTTGAAGAGTGTAGGAACATCGAGAATGTAGGAACCAAGACAAAACCACCCTCTGCCTCCCTCCTACTCTTTCCCCTAAACCTATTCACAAAGTATGCTTGGAGGAGACGAAAACCCAAGATGAAGGGCAACCATGCTCCAACTTCCACTTTCATGTAAATTCTGCTGAGGCCAGCTCAGAATGTGCCACGACAGAGACAAAAACAAGATCATTCTATGTTAAACCCAACCCTTTGGATGGATCCACAGGTCCCTTCCCTTTCCTGATCAGAGCTTTGGACATGGTCTCTCTCTCTCTCTGGCTCTGCTTCTTTATCAAAAATGGCAAAACAATTAATTAGTACTGCTGCATGGCATTTTTCAATGGTTATTATTATTAATTACTTATTTATCTTATCAGTTTATTGATTGGATTATTCTTCCTTTAAACAAACGATTAAAGTGGCCAAACCTCATCTTTCTGAAATTTGCTCAGCGATCTAGTGACGGGAAAAAGAATTGAAACGCAAACTCCCCATGCAGACAGGTTGGACAAGCCTGATTTTTGTCAATGATGTTACCAGGCCTTTATTTTGGAGACTGGAACATCCCAAGCCATAGATTTCCCATTGCAGTGAATGGGTGAACTCAACAACTACAATTAGTGATATTAGTGCCCACATTACCATACAAGCTATAAAACTGCCTTTTAAAAAATGTATTAACCTGGAGCTGCTTTCAGATAGCTCATTGAATACATGGACTTATGCTGGGATAAAGAATTATATATAAATGTGAAAGGCTGCAAGTTTGAGCCCTTGTCAACAAGGCACACATCAGCTGGAGCAAAATTACTTCATAAATAATAGTTCCCTAGTCACAATTTATACAGTGTCAACACTCACCGGTAATGAGTTCCCGCATTTCTGCATCCACTGTTTTTCGTAACAAACGCAATAAGGCTGGGATTCCGCCGGCATTTTTTACGGCTATTTTATTCTCATCAGTTGTTCTTCCATAAACCAGGTTCCGAAGTGCACCACACGCATTTTTATGTACTTCGAGGACTTTATGATCCAGAAGATCAACTAAATGTTTAATTCCACCTAACATACACACCTTGGGGAAATAAACAAGGTACACAAAGAATACTAAATTGTATACTGTACACATACACATATAATTTTAAAAGATAATTACTAACCCTACACACTTCAAAAGGTTTGCTCTCTTGAATTCGTAGTGCTAATTAACCCTTCCACCACCAAACATTCTCATTCGATAAATTTCTGTGTATAATGAAATCATTTGATGGTAGGACAAGATTTGGAAGCTAGATGACTGCCCATGTGAAAATAAAAAAGGTATCACATTGTCAAATTCTCCAGAAGTTATTTATATCTATTCAAGGTGGTCATAAACAAGGCATAAATAAACATTCAAATGTCCCTCACTCCACAAATAATCTGTTAAATGCCATATTAACAACCCAACATACAAATTACATAATTCCACATATTGTGGGCCATAATGAGCAAGGTTACCAGCTAAGCACTCAAGGTGAAATTCCTTCCATGGCATTTTCCAGTTTATTTCAAAGTATCACATTCTTCTCTGCTATTCATCACTAAGAGGCCATCAGATCTAATCTAATGTAACACTAATTAGTCACCATGATATCCGTAGAAACAAAAAAAAATAAGTTCTTCAATGTTTCCCTCCCTCTTTATAGGGGCAGCTAGCTCTTACTTGTGAGAGCACCTTACCACACCCACAACAGAATGATCAATATCAGTAACTTGTACATGAACTTGATGTCAAAAATCACTGGATGCTGTCCCAACATTATGTAATTTTACTAAACTATGGCATCATTTCAAAATTAATTATTGTGTAATTATAACTGTGATAATGGTTTCAATAGATAGTTGGGACAGTTTGATGAATTATACACCCACAGCTATATTTCAGTTAAAAAGTTCTAATCATCATTGAAATATATGTTAAGTAATTTTTAGATAATAGAAGCTGTAATAGCAACTTTACTTGCATACATTAATCACTTCCAAATATAAAGTGGATGCTCTTTCTCAATGCACTTAATTTGGCATTTTGCATATATAGATGGCAATACAAGATACATGAAAAAGCAGTGGAGTAACTTTGTACCAAATCCTATTATTGCAATAGCAAAGTACACAAATATATTCCTTGACTGATTGTTTTGAGATGATACTGTGCAGAAACTATGAGCAGAAAGTGTAGTTGTTCCAAAAAACTTTGGTAACAATCAAAAAATAAATTCTCTCAATACCTGAGCGAATCATGTTGGAGTGTGAACATAGGAACAGGAGTAGGCCATTCAGTCTGTCGACCCCACCCTGCCATTCAGTATGATCATAGAACATAGAACAATACAGCGCAGTACAGGCCCTTCGGCCCTCGATGTTGCGCCGACCTGTGAAACCAATCTGAAGCCCATCTAACCTACACTATTCCATTATCATCCATATGTTTATCCAATGACCAGTTAAATGCCCTTAAAGTTGGCGAGTCTACTACTGTTGCAGGCAGGGCATTCCACGCCCTTACTAATCTGAGTAAAGAACCTACCTCTGACATCTGTCCTATATCTATCACCCCTCAATTTAAAGCTACGTCCTCTCGTGCTAGCCATCACCATCCGAGGAAAAAGGCTCTCACTGTCCACCCTATCTAATCCTCTGATCATCTTGTACGTCTCTATTAAGTCACCTCTTAACCTTCTTCTATGGCTGATTGAACACTTCAATGCATTTTACTCTCTCCATCTGCATAATCCTGCATGCTGCTGGTAATCAGAAATTTATCAATTTTTACCTTAAGCAGACTCAAAGACTGAGCTTCCACAACCTTCCATGGAAGAGAATTCCAAAGGTCTATATCCTTATAATTAAAGGAAAATCCATTCTTTATGAATGTATAAAGTGAACTGAAGCAAAAATAAATGATGGTTTTGTAACTGCATTAAAATTACAGCCAACAATTTGAAACTTTGAGGTAATGAGCATTACAATTATGTTCCCTTGGTGACGCATTTGTCACCAAGATTGAGACTGCCTCTGCTACTTCCTTGACTTCTGCTAAGGCCACTTGGTCAAACATCCTCTAAAACTCACCCCATCTACTTTGAACTTGTATTTTTTTCTTATTTGTTTCCTGTTCTCCATTGAACCCTCTCTGAGTTCATGTTGATCACGTGACCAATTGCTTGTTCCCTTCATCTTACTCCCATTAAACCACCAACCATGAAGGCTCCCTCTATGAATGAATGAATTTATGAATTAGCTTTATTGTCACGTACTCAAATCATAGTTTACTCAAATCACCACTTACACCACCATCTTAGGTACAAAGGTACCTAGGTACAGCTTCTTCAGTTACAAGGTTATTTATAATGTAACAATGTCACCAACACACGGCGCCATCTAAGGTACAGAGTGCCTAGGTACAACCCTTAGTTACACAGTAGAGAAATGAAAGAGAAAAAAGTTATATTACAGCTATACACAGTATAACCACAGATCAGAAAAACAAGGAGCAAAGTTAAAAAAACAAAAATCAGAGACTGTCTCCAAGGGCTTTCTGCAGCAGACCAGCGTTCGGGGCTTCCATCTGGTCTGACTGCTGGCTGCCGTTATGCCCTGCACTGGGCCGCTGCCCCCGCTCTGTTCTGGGCCACTGGCTGTCCTGGGCCGCTGGTATCCCTGCTCCGGGCCGCTGGTTGCTGGCATGCCCATTCCGGGCTGCCAACTGCTGACCGCTGACCCAGCTTTGGAGGCCTGGTGTCTAAGGCCGAGAGCCAGAGAAGACCGAAGAGAAGAAAACCACAGATAGGACAAAAAGAGGGATGAAGAAGGAGATGTGATTCAGGGCTCTTATGGTGCAGTGGTAGTGTCCTGCCTCATAACCAGCAGACTCTGGTTCACATCCCACCTGCTCCAGAGGTGTATAAGAACATCTCTGTAGTAGGCTTAGTTACAAAATATCTTTCACAATAAAAAAAGGGTGACTCTCATGCCCCTGTAATTAAATGCTTGTCTGGGCCATTTCAGAGGAAGTCAGTAGTCAACCACATTGCAATAGGTCACAGGTAGGCCAGACCGGGTGATTAGAAGGTAAGGATGTGCAGATACTAAACCGAAACCAAATGCGCTGTTAAGATCTGGCAAGGTCCCTCTAGGCGTTGCTTGCAAATAGCTGCACATGCACATCAATCATGAAATTGCCATAGAGGGACCAACAGTTTGCTCATTAGCAATGGTCACTTTAAGTTCGGCACATGAGATCTCATGGCAATCTGGAAGAATGGCACAGTGCAACTCGCGGACCACACACAGCAAAAGGACATTAGAAGAAATATTTGACTAAAAACTAAAAGAACTGGGTTTTGAAGAAGGGTCACTGGATCCGGAATATTAACTCTGATTTATCTCCACAGATACTGCCAGACCTGCTAGGCTTTTTCAGCAATTTGTTTATTTTAGAAGAGATATTGCTGACCATCTTTTAGGAACTATGTGTAACTTCAATTTAGATTTTACTTTGAGGAAATCACATGGTTTCACTCTCAGTTTTAGAATTGTTCTTGTGAGCTCACTTCCAAGAAGTTTGAAAAAAGGTTACTTCAATCTGAAACTAAAGGTGTTGAATCTAAATAAGGGCAATTATGAAGTTATGAGAAGGATATTATCTGCGGTAGACTACAAAAATACATTCTAAGGTTTCATGGTAGTTAGGCAATGGCTAGTATTTGAAAAAAGCATAATTCCATTCAGGCAAAAATACCCAAAAGGAAAACTGAGAAAACCATGGCTAAAAAGGGAAGTAAAAGATAGTATGGGATCAAAGGAGGAGATTGAGAAAGGTGCTAAAAAAAAGGTGTAAGCATAAAGATTTGGAGAATTTTAGAATTCAACAAAGGAGGACCAGGGACCCAGGTTTGATTCTACCCTCAGGTGACTGTCTGTGTGGAGTTTGCACATTCTCCCCTTGTCTGCAGGTGTTTCCTCTGGGTGCTCCAGTTTCCTCCCACAATTCAAAGATGTGCAGGCTGGGTGGATTAGCCATGGGAAATGCAGGGTTGCAAGGACACGGTTGAGGGGTGGGCCTGGGTGGGATACTCTTTGGACGGTTGGTGTAGACTTGATGGACCGAATGGCCTGCTTCCACACTATAGGGATTCTATGATAAAGGGATGATGAGGATCAATGTGATAAAGATTGATTATAGAATTTGAATGCAGAACAGCATGAGTCATAAAACACATTGGAAAAAGCTCCAATATGCAAATAAAACAGGAAACAATTAGCAAATACAAATGTGGGTCTATTACAGGCATAGTCAAGAGAATTTATAACAGATAGAGAAGTTGTTAGTTCTTAGGTTTGCCATCATCCGAACTAATGATGTTCCAAGAATGCACTGAATGTGAGAAACTTAAAGAAATCAGGATAGTAAGAGAGTAGTATTGGCAAAATTATTAGGACAGAAGATGACTAGATGACTTTAACCCTAAAATGTTGAAAGAGATATCTACAGAGATAGTGGATGCTTTAGTGATCATCTTTCAAAGTTCTATTTAATTGCAATGGTGCCTGCAGATTGCAAATGTAACATCACTGCTGAGAAAGGAGAGAGAGAAAATAGGGAACTAAGGATCTGTTAGCCTAATATTAGCAGTGAAAATGCTCAAATCTATTTAAAGATCATGATTACTGGATATTTAGAAAAATAACTGTCTGATTATGCAGAGTCAATACAGATTAAAGCAAAGGAAATCACATTTGACAAACCTGATTGTTAGTAACATCCTGAGAAAAACTGTGTTGATAGGAGAAACCACTGGATGTAGTGTATTTAGATTTTCAGAAGGATTTTGATAAAGTCCCATGTAGGTTAGTAAACAAAACGAAAGTACATGGGATTGGACGTAATATACCAGCATGGATTGAGAACTTGTTAACAGATGGAAAGCAGGGCGTAGCAATAAGTGGGTCATTCTATGGTTGGCAGACTGTGACTAGCGAGGTTACTGTAAGATCAGTGATTGGGCTCTAGTCCCAGTTTATGATCTTCAT